GCCACAGCTTCTCTGAGCACTCTGTGCCATCCCTTTCAAAGAATAAAATCCCACAGCCTCTACAATATTTCCATCACCTCTGAGAGTTATGAGCAAAAAGAGAAATCCCCACTTCAAGCCCCCACAATTTCCACCAAGAGGGAATTTTCTTTACTGCCTGCCTATAGAATTTTTAGCAGGACTTTGATGAGCTCTGGATCACATTCCCTGACTGAGGGTGCTGAAAATTGGCCTATATATTTTATTTCACTGCTGAAACATCCTGCACCTGTGGAGAGGAGAGGAGGCTCCGTACCTTCAGTGAGGGGGAAGAGCTCGCTCATCTTCTGCCGAGCTCTGCGGAGCTTCACCAGCTCTCCCTCCTGCCGGAGCAGCTTGATCAGATCCAAGTGACAGTTGTAATCAAAAGCATTGATGGAGAGCTTAAAAAAATAAAAGTAAATCCATTTTGGAAGCCGTGTTGAGTGAAGTCAGAAAACAAATCACACAATTCTCGTGGTGTGATCACAGAGGCAGACAACGCAGAGTTTTCTCAGATTTAATAAAACCTCTGACACAGCCCCGGCCGCTCCCTCGGTCACGCCATAAATTATGCTTCAATTTTTTTAAAGGCAATAAAAACCCGCGGGCAGCCGGCTCAGATTTCTCAATGAACACCAACTGCTTACGGGGACTTTCCTCCTCTCAAAATAATCCCAAGCCGGTCAATTTCCATCTCAGACACCAAACACTCACGGCATAAAATCAACGAATATCCCGAGTTTGAGGAAACTCACAAGGAGCAGGGAAATTCACACCCTGACAGGGAAATTCACACCCTGCCAGTGCCAGCACCGAACCGCCGGGGCAGACACGGATTATCCCCGTTCCCGCCACACCCGCCAGGCCCACCTGCTCCTCCAGCCGCTGGATCTCGGCCTCGTTCTCCTTCTCCTCATCCTCGCCGTCCCCAGACGAGTCAGAATCGCCCTCATCGTCCGAGTCCCCGCCCGACTCGGGGTCTCCCTCCGGCAGCCGCTTCTCCTCCTCGGCCGCCGCCTCAGCTCCCGCCGCCGCCATCTTATGCAGCTCCGCTCACCGCCCGCCGCGCTCCGCCGGCCGCCGCGGCTGCCCCCGCGCCGCCTGTCCCGCTGCTCCGCCCCACCGCCGGCCGAACCGGGTGGGAAGAACCGGGATCTTCAGCCCGCCCCGCCCCATGATCGCCCGCGAACCGGGGCCGCGCTGCGCCGAGTGCGGCCGCGGCGCGACCCTTTATCTGCCGGTCGGTAGCGCAGGCAGCGCAGCGGGCACCCCGCTGTGTGGCCATCAGGGGGCCTCCGAGAGGGTCCGTGGCGTGCGCGGCGCCGCTTGCCCGCCATGTTGAGTGTGGCGCCGCGTGCCGCACGCGCGCCGTCTGTCGCGATAGAAACCCTGGCGCGACCGAAAGGCCGTTCCCAGCGTTTGTTTATTTACTGATCGTTTCAGCCGCAGCGCGGCCTCCATCGCTCACGCCGTCTACGCGGCCAACGAATGACCGGGGTGAGACGCGAGCTCCTGAGCCTAAGGGGCGTGGTCGGGGCGTGCTGGGGGGCGTGGCCAACACCGAGGTTATAAAAGGGAGGCGGACAGCGCCCCTCCCCTCAGTCAAGATGGCGGCGCTGAGGGCGGCGGGGGCGGCGCTGCTGCGGCCTCGGGCCGGGCCGGCCCCGGCTGTGCTGGGCTACCACAAGAAGGTGAGGGGCGAGCGTGACGCGGGGAGGGACGGGGGAGCGCGGGGTGACCCTCGCTGACGCCGTGTCTTGGCAGGTGGTGGATCACTACGAGAACCCGCGCAATGTCGGCTCCCTCGACCGCAATTCCAAGAACGTGGGCACCGGCCTGGTGGGCGCCCCGGCCTGCGGCGACGTCATGAAGCTGCAGGTGACCTTGGGGACCTGCTGGCACCTGGGTGGGGTTACACGGGGCTGTTGGCAGGGTCAGAGCTGTCCGTGTCCCCTCACCTTCCCTCATGCCCGCCCTGGCCGTGCCCTGTGCCCCGTGCCAGGCCAGTCCCGCTCCCCTCGGGCCCGGCTGGGGGGACCTGGCTGGCCTGAACCGGGCGCTGAAGCGTCCCCAGAATGGGCACTGAAGTGTCCCCAAAATGCTCCCGCAGGTGGAAGTGGATGAGAACGGCAAGATCGTGGACGCTCGCTTCAAAACGTTCGGCTGCGGCTCAGCCATCGCCTCCAGCTCGCTGGCCACGGAGTGGGTCAAAGGGAAAACGGTGAGGGAGCTCCGGGAATGCTGCAGGGCTTCCCACGTGCCTGTGCTCTGTGTTGGGATCGTGGAGGAAATGCTCTCCAGGGAATCCCTGCACTGCTCTGTGCTGTAGGAGTGACTGCCAGCACTGTCAGGGTTTCAGTTGTAGGGCATTAATTGTCTTTTTCTCATCAGAGAATCATTAAGGTTGGGAAAGCCCTCTAAGAACATCAAATCCAACTGTTCCCCCACCACTGACAGCTCCACAACTCACCATGTCCCCAGGTGTTACATCTACATGGAACAATTCCACCAGGAAATTTCTTTGTGTCTTATGCAATGAGCAAAACTAGGCTGATGGCAGAAATTTTAATTATAGAGAACTTTTAGATCATTTCTGCCAGCAGCAAATGCACCTCAGTGTTGTGATAGAGGATGATCAGACTCAAAACAGGCCCAGTGGGGACAGTGGGTGACACTGATATGTCATCAGACATTCCTTAATTCCCACATCCCTCACTGCCCTGGGCAGCTGAGAGGATCTCTCCTGTGGATTCTGCTGGCTCTGGAGCATTGAACCTTAGCAAACACAAAGAGCAGGGCCCTTGACCTCCTCTGCCTGTGTTCCAGGTTGATGAAGCGCTGAAAATCAAGAACACAGACATTGCCAAGGAACTCTGCCTTCCCCCTGTCAAACTGCACTGCTCCAGTAAGTAAAACCCTGGATCTCAGATACTCTGGAAATAGCACAGGTGCTTCTGAAGGCTGTTTTCCAAACAATTTCTGCATGACTTTGTCCTTAAGAGAAAACGTGTTCAGATTTCAGGGTTAATTCAAGAATTATCAGATCACTTCAATATTTTGGAGCCTGTAGCTCAGCAGACTGATTATAAACAATCATATTCTGAATTCTGTTATTATCTGGAGTTGTATTACATTAAATGAGCATTGTAGGAATTCAATATTTTAGGAATTCCATTCAGATTCTACTCCTAAGGCCAGTCTATGCTGCTGGTCTTATTTGCTCACTGCTGCCTGCTTTTGTTTTTATTTGTTTTGTCCTAAAAGCCCATGAATTGTCCTTAAATGCTTTTTTTTTTTGCCTTGCAGTGCTGGCTGAAGACGCCATCAAGGCCGCCTTGGCTGATTACAAACTGAAGCAGGATCCAAACAGAGAATCCAACAAAGAATCCGACAAAACAGCCGACAATGCCTGAACTGCCTGCGCAGCTTCCCCTCCTCACTCCCTCCTCACTCTGCAGTGCAATTCCCGAGCTGTTGTAGGACCCTGTGCACTACTCGAGCTGTAAGATACGCACAAGTTACGCACAACGTGTCCCTGTGGTGTCCAGGCACCCCCTAGTGCTCCCCTGGCTGGGGGCTGCCGTCCCCTCGGGAATGCTGCGGGACGACTCCGCTCCGGAGACCAAACCCCGCTGTCCGGTACTGGAAGGGCTGCACTTTTCGTTTTTGTTTTGGGAAGATGTCTAGTTTTGCCTAATATCTTATGGAATTTGGTGGGAAGCGTTGCCCTGGTTTGGATGTGTGTGTGTGAGAGATGTGGGGCTGTCCCTGGCTCTGCCTGAGTCAGGGTTGGTTTCGTAATCCGGGAGCAAATTCCTGCTTTTGGAATTCTGGGAATGTTTTGCTGGTGCCAAAGGGAAAAGTGACCAGGAAACACCGGTGGTTTCTGCTCCCATCCTGTCACCACTTAATTTTTGAAGCACTTGTTTGAGGAACAGCCTGAATTTTGGGGTGTTTTCTCTAAGAATTCACTTCTTCACTCACCAGGTGCTCTCTTAGAGCTGTAAATCCTGGGCTAGAGGAAGGTGTCCCTGCCCAAGGAAGGGGTTTGCAACTGGATGATCTTTAAGATCCCTTCATACTCAAACCCCACTCCAATATTCCCTAAAGTACACCCTCAGACTGGAACCCCAGTGGGGAAATAGCAGAGCTGAGGGGGAGCTCCCAGAGTTCCTCTTTTCTGGAGGAGTATTTCCAAACCAAGCAGACAACACATTGGCAGACTTCACTTTTTAACCTTCTAACCCCCCACGAGACACATCACTTCCCATTTTTCATACTGAGGGTGTTGTTAAACATTTAAAACCACATTTAAGAAAAAAAATAATTGTCTCATCCTGCTCCATCCCGGCACAATATTTGTAATTTTTAGTACAGAGGTCACACGTTTCTGCGAGTTTGTCACTCACAAGGTCCCTCTTGTGGTTCCTCAGCTCCTGGCACCCTCCAGCAGTGAGGAATGTGCCTCTCCCTCATGGAACCATCCTGCTATTTCCTGGTTTAAAAAAAAAATCAGGGAAGCTTCACCCACTCACATTTGCTTTGGGAAAAAACCAGCTCTGTGGTGGCACACGCTTCCCAAGGGAAGGTTGTCCTGAGGCAAGGACATAATGGGATGAAACACAGGGACACAGGAGGTTCAAGGGTACAGGGATGTGCTGCTTTTGGGGCAGAACAGCCTCACTCGCCTTCCAGGGTTCCCTGCTGTCCCCACTGCAGCAGCTGCACCCCAGGGCTGTGGCTGAGTCCCCACAGCCCCTCCTCAGCCCCACAGCTGTGGGTACAAGATAAAGGTTTCCTGGAAGGGCACATCATGTGCTGATGTGGGGACTGATAACACCCTGCCCAAGGCTCCACTGGCCCTGGAGTCCAATCCATCTGTGCCCCTGGGGGAGCACAGGGACACAGGGACTGTCCCCTGGCCACCCCACGGCTGAGACACACACGGGAGAGGAGCTGTGCGGAGGAAACATTTATTTCTAGCTGAAGGGGTTCAGAAAGTGAGGCAAAAATTCAGCTGGGCTCTGGGGTGGAAGAAGGAAGGGAGAGTCCTTGTCCCTAAATCCTCATCCCTCTTTCCCTTGGGTGGCCTTGGGCAAAGCTGACCCGTGTCCCACAGACCTCCAGCCCTGCTCCCATCCCTTCTCTCAGGGGGACACAGCTCCCGGCCAGGAGCCCGGCACAGACCAGGCTGCTGCTGCTGATTAAAATAACATTTGGGAGGAAGCTGTTGGCACAGCGGGGGCAGAGCTGCAGTGCCTGGGGTGGGAGAAGCCCCTTGGGCAGCAGGAGCTGGGGCTGACAGCGTTCCAGTGCTGGGGAAACCCACCAGCTGGCAAATCCCCCCTTGAGCATCCCATCAGCACCAGGGTCGGGGGAGCTGGGAGGGGACGGGATCTTCATCGGGGCTTCCTTGAGCCACCACGTACATACAGAGCCTGATCCACCCTGTCCATCGTGTGTCCCAGGGCAGCAGCTCCTCAGGCTTACCCGGGACCGTGTCCCTGCCTCAGATTCCAGAGGGAGCCTGGGAGCCATCCTGGGATGCCTCAGGGCTGCATCCTCCATCCTTGCTTCCTGCGCCCGCCGCTTCTTCCTCACCCGCATTTTGGGCAGGGGGCTTGGGTTGCTCATCCCCCAACTTCTTCTTTCCTTCCTCCTCTTCCTCCTCCTTCTCCTCCTCCTGAGGGGAATTCTGCTCGCCGTGGGCCGCGTTGGCCAGCGGAGCCTTGTGGGGGGATTTGAGGTTCTGGGCAGCAGCCAGGATGTCGGCCTGGAGCTGGCAGCTGCCGTCCAGCGGCTCCTCTGCGCTGGCCTCGGGGGCTTTGTCGGGCACCTCGCTGAAGTCCCGCGCTCCCCCCGACTTGTCCCGCTCATCCACGTATTTCTTCTTGGGAAAGGAGGAGGGATAGTAGGCAGAGGCCTTGTGCTTCTGCCGGACGATGACGGCGGCGCAGATGATGAAGAGGAGGACGAAGGACAGCGAGCCCACCACCACCACCAGCAGCAGGTACTCCTTGAAGAAGTCCACCAGCCCGTCCAGCACGCCCGGCGCCGAGCTGTTGGTCACGGTGGTCCCCGGTGCCGCCCCCACGGTGGGGCTGATGCGGGGGGTCACGGGCTGGGCGGGCAGCGTGGCTGAGGCCTCGTCCCCGTCCCCGCTGCCCGCCGTGTCCGGCAGCACCGGGCGGTGCCGCGGCGCCGCCGCCTCCGCCGGGGCTGCCACCAGCAGCACCAAGAGCAGCAACCACGTGCCCATGGCTGAGCCCATGCCCAGGATTCCTGCAGGAAACCTGTGGGATGCAGAGAGGTGAGGGACATGTTAATATCCCAACAGCGTGAGCCCCTCAGGCCAGCCCTCACCCGCCTGAATTTCCTTATGGAAGTGGAAAGGCAGCTCGGGTTTTTTCACCCTGACAGAGCAGGGGGCTCTGTTTGTTTTCCAAGGGCACAGCTGGAAGCCAGCTGGGTGGGATTGCTCAAGGCTGGGGACCGGGGCTGCTGCCAGCGCCCAGCTCCAGACAACGGTCATTTGGCTGGTTAGAGAATTCCTGAAAAATGGAGGTTTGCAGTGGAAACTTTGACACAGGCAACGCTACAAAAGGGCCAGGCCCGGCGCAAGAGGCATTTCCCAACCGCCGTCCCAGACTGTTAATTCCCAGCTGGAACACGGCTAAAAATAGTTTGGGGCAGGATTTCACCCTGGTGCCACCATGTGCTTGAGTGGAGCGGGATGGGGTGTGGGACAAAGGGGCAGCCCCAGAGCTGGGGTGCAGGGAATGGGGTTCCGGCTGCCTGAGCGTCCCTGGGAAGGGGGAAGGCCTGGCTTTGTCCCTGTGCTGTGCTCCTCACCCGGATGGGGCTGGATCTGCCCCCATTCCACAGCCCACAGTGCACTGCAGGACATGGGACACACACTTCCCACCCCAGAGCAATGACTGGGGTGAGCCCCTGGCCAGGCTCTGCACCCCACGGGATTTGGGATTGGGACGTGACCGTCTCCACTGCGAGACATTCCCGAGGGATCCACGCGTGCCACGCCACGTAACGCCACCGAGCCCTTCCCAGGGCTCTTCCCCTCCACACGGCTCCACGGGGAGGTCTCAGGAAAAGCTCCCCAGGTACATCAGCAGGGACGCCCCATGACAATTCCCCAACCTCAGGCTCCCCAAATCCCAGCCCACATCCCATTTTCCCCCCAAACAAACCCAAGCCAGCAGCTCTACAGAACAAGAGGGACTCCAGCGGCAGGATTTGGCTTCCAGGCTCTCTCCTGGCTGCACAATCTGGTTTCCATTAATCCGGTGCAAAAAACGGCAGCAGAGGCGGGAGGTGTCCCGACTCCCAACCCTCCTGGCTCCCCATGGGCACTGCTGCGGCTGTGGGGTCACAGCACTGACCAGCACCGGGAGAAGGAAGGGTTGGAGGGGCTGAGATGAGCCCCCTCATCCTCCTCTCCACCCCACACAGGGGCCCCTCGGCGGGAAAGGGGTCCCGGGATGGGGACGGCACCAATTCCCCGGCAGCCATCAGAGCTGAGGAGCAGCCGTGGCCATGCAGGAGCTGAGCAAAGCCCAGAGCATGCCAACAGCAGGGCCTGGCACCACGGGCATTGCCAGCCCTCCACTCCATCCCAAACCCATTCCAGCCCTTCCTTGCCCACCCCCAGACCCACAGCTCCTTCCCAGCTCCGCTTCCCAACCACTGCAGAAATTCAGGATTTCGGCGTTGTCCAGAGCAGCACGCTCCGATTCCCGCCTGGGAATGCAGCCCTGTGCCCGACTCCATCCCGTGTCCCGCCGTGGGGACCATGCCCAGCCCTCACTGCAGCACCCCTGGCTGTGGCACAGCCTGTGCCCTGCTCCAGAGCCCCCCAAAATTGGGGAGCAGCTTGGCACATCCAGTGGGATCCTCACCTCGCCCGCGGCCGGCGGGAGGCAGCCGGGAAGACGGGATCTGTCCCACACACCTCGAGCCCCTTTCTGCAGCCTGCTGGGATGGAGCCTCCTCCTCCTTCTCCCTCCTCTCCTCCTCCTCCTTCTCCTCCTCCTCCTGCGTCGCAGCCCGGGACCAGCTTGTTCTCATTACGGCCGGGATGGGGAGGGGGTGTGGGAGGCCAGGGAAAGGCAGGCAGCCCCCAGCCCCCTCCCAGATGAAATCCAGCTGGGGCTAGGGGTGTTTCCTGGCTTATCCCATCAGCAAAGGAGCCACGGTGCCCCCCATCACCAACCCCGGAAGGGGCCACATTTTGGGGTGCAAGTGGGGATGAGGGTCACACACAGGGGGTTGTTTTTAATGTTTTTATCCACGAAGATGGGGGTAATGCCCATTTGAGGGTCCAAGGGGGACAGTGAGGGATGTGGGCTCAGTGCCCTGGCATTATTGAGGCAGTGGGGCAAACATGGCTTGGGATCATCCCTGTAATTTCAGAAGAAAATTTCCTAAAATCCCAGCCTGGAAATGCTCTGGCCTGAGCACTTCTGCCTTGGGGTGCAGGCAGGGACACAGGTAGGGGCACCCCTGGTTCCCCAGACAAACACAGGAGCTGCTCAGCTCCCAGGATCTCCAGTCTTGGGGTCTGGGGGCACCTCTTGAGCCCCCCAATCTCTCTCTCCCCCTGCCCTGGTCCCCTCGGCCCGGCCTGAGGTTGCTCAAGAGGCTGCAGCCGCTGTGTGACTTCATCCCGCTGCTATTTTCCTCTGCTCCTCTCTGGGGACCTGCCAGACCCCCCAAAAAGCCGCGGCCAGCGCCTGGGGACCGTGACCCCCGCGGGGTGGGGGGCCGGGTTCTGTCCCCTCGGCCGGAGCGGGGCTGGCGCCGCTGGGGTTTCTCCGGCGTCGCCGCCGCTCCCCAAAATAAAGGCTCCGTCCGTCTGTCTGTCTCGGCAGCTCCCTGCAGCTGCTCGGGCGGCTTTTCCCGGCCTTAAGTGCTCAGTGATGAAATCTTAGAGGGGAAGGGGGAAAGGCGAGGGGAGGCCAGAGTTCCAGCAGCATCCGGCCCTGCTCCTGCAGCCCAGGTGGGGATGGGGCTGAGTTCCCCCCACCCACCCACTAATGCCGGTGTTGGGCTCAATTCCCTTGTCCAGCGTCTCCGTTCCACCCTGCCCAGGGTCTGCATCCCACCCCAGCCAGGATCCCCATCCTTCTTCCCCCAGAGTCTCCATCCCTCCTTGTCCAGGATCCGCATCCCACCGTGCCCTCGCTTCCCCCCCTTCATTGCTCACAGTCCTCGTCCCTCCCTGCCCAGCGTCCCCACCTCAGAGTCCTCATCCCTCCCTACCCAGCGTCCCCACCCTCGCAGCCGGGATCCCGGGCCCGGTTCCCGGTGCCAGCTCCCACCATCCCATTACGATTCCGTTTTTGCCTGCGGCGGCCGCGGGCCCGGCCCCTCGGAGCTGGGCAGGGCCGGGACCGCCCGGTCCCGCCGTGTAATTTGGGGCAGCAGGAACGCGCGGCGTGCAGGGCTGGGCTCGGCGGCACAGCCCGCCCGGGGAACCGGCAATTTGAGGCATTGCAGCCTTGCTCTGCTTCTAATTTGCTGCCCTGGGCTGCGCTTTGCTGTGCCAGCAAAATACCCGGAGGGCGCCCGTCCTGCCGAGCGGCACGGGGCGTGTGGAGCTCCATGTGCGGTGTCGTGAGTGGGATTGTGCCACCCCCGGCGCCCTGTCACCCTCCACAGCCCGGTGCCACCCCCGGGGTCCTGTCACCCATCATAGCCCGGTGCCGCTCCACCACACGCTGCCCTGAGGATTCTGCTGTGACACCGCGCAGGCTTCCCGTGAATTCCTGCGCCGTGAGGCGGGCCGTGGCAGCCCGACAGGAGCTGCTGACTGCGCCAAATAGGGCGATTCCTGCTCCCGTGGTGGAGGAAAGTTTCTCCTCGCTGAGCTCCTGCTGGAGAGCAGCTGGCACAGGGCTGGGAGAGTGGGAGCAATCCCTCGGATCTGCACCCATCCTATTCCTCACCAGCCTCATCCTCAGCGGGGGCAGAGGCTGGATGAGCTGCTGTGGGGTGAAGCCAGAGGATGGGAGCATCCCTCTTCCCCCATGGCTGCTTTGGCTGGCGTGGGGACACACTGGGACAGGGTGGCATCAGCAAGGAGCCCACAGCCAGGGTGTCCTGCGTGGGGACCGGCCATGGCCACCAGCTGCGGGTCCCCTGGCCCGGCTGACTCACCCATAAACATTTACATTCACAGCTGGAGCGGGGCTGAGCAGCTGCCAGCATCCAGATGGAAAATATCCCGAGCTCAGGGTGAATGTAAACAGGCAGCAGGGCTGGGATGCAGGTGAATGACCACGCTGCCAATTCCTCCTGGATAACCAGCCCAGAGTGGCCTTCGAGGGGGCTGCAAGCTTGGGGATGGAGGGAAGGGGATATTGGAATGTGGGAATGGGGATGTGGGAGTGGGAACCATGAATCTGGCGGGGCAGGAGGGAGGATAGAGAGATGGGGACATTGAAGCTGTCACAGCAGGGATGGGGATTTGGGGATGGGGAGCCTGGGTGGAGCAAAATGGAAAAATGGGAACATTGAGCCTGGCAGGACAGGGCCAGTCCTCGGCTATTTTCACTCCCTCAAGGAAGGGATCAGTTGGTGGCCTGAAAGGTGACTGAGCGGGTGAAACGCTGGGACCTCCGCTGGCCTCTCATGGATTTGCTCTCCCCATCCCTCCCAGTCCCAGCTGGATGATGCCGAGCCCCTGCACCACCGTTCCCCCCGGGGCCGAGCACCTGACAGGCAGCGGCGGCCCCGGAGGCGTCCCCGCCTCGCTGCGGCGACCGCAGGCAGGAACACGTTGTGCCACGAGCTGTCCCCGTCCCCTCCGTTTCCGCCCCGTCCCCCCCGCCCTTCCAGCTCCCACGAGGCCGGGCAGGAGGTCCCGGGGGCTGCGGTCCCGTCCCCAAGGTCCCGGGCTCCGGTCCCTGCCTGGCCGCGGGTTTCGTTTCTGCTCCCCCAGGGGCTTGAGGGGGAGGATGGAGAAGCGAAATTTTGGCAGCAGGATGTGGGCAGGCGGCGGGGCCGGGAGGGGGCTGGCGGGACCCTGCCAGGAAGAGACCACCGTGTCCGGGTAACTCTTTAATGGGATGGGCCCTGAGGGCCGAGCTGGACGCGGGGGAGCAGCTCCGTCTCACTGGTCCAAGGGACAACATCAGGGGACAGGGGCGCCCTGCCCGCGGCTCCACCGGGGACCGGGCACCGCAGCGCTGCGGGATGCAGGAGCCATCGCTGGGGCTCAGGAGTGCTCCGGCAGGAAGCTGCTGAGAGTCAGGTTGTCTCCATCGGGCTCGGAGCTGCCGTCGGGCAGCAGCAGCTTGTGCCTCCGGGCGGGGACAGGACGGGGGCCGGCGGCCGCCTCGGCGTCGGGCAGCAGCGAGGAGATGCAAACCATCTCGGTGGGGCCGAAGCGGCGCTCCCCCGTCCGCGCCCGCCGCCACAGCAGCGTCCCCAGCACGCCCGTGCTCACCAGGAAGGCGGCGGCCACCAGCCCCAGCAGCAGGATGGCCAGCAGGCACTTGCTCATCGCCCCGCTGGGCTCCCAGGGCGCCGCCGTGCCCACCGGCGTCGTGTCCCAGGTGGCCGCGAGGGTCGATGCAGGCGGAGCTCCGGATTTCTTGGGTTTCCCGTAGCCCGTGCTGGTGAGGACAAAGGCTGGGGGGGCTGTTGAGCGTGGCCCCGTGGAGGAGTCGCTGTCCAGGCCATCAGTCACTGCGTCCTCCTTGATGAGTGCCGTGAGCCAGCCGGGGGTGGTGGCGATGCTCTTTTGGGCTGCTGATGGTGAGCCAGGCTCTGAGCCTGGCAGCAGATCGGGAGCAGGGGAATCAGTCTCATCCATGGGATCAGCTGTGGTTGGCACCACGAGTACCCGGCTGGCCTCGGTGCTGAGTGCTGGTGGTGGGGCAGTGCTCGGGAGCAGGTCGGGATCAGGGGGATCTGTCTCATCCATGGGATCAGCTGTGGTGGGCACCCGGAGCAGGCTGGTGCTGGCACTGGTCACTGTTGGTGCCACAGAGTCCTCCAGTAAGTCAGGAGCAGGGGAATCTCTCTCATCCATAGGCTCGGCTGTGGTGGACACTGCAAGCCCCTGGAGCAGGCTGGAGTTGGTGCTGGGCACTGGTGCTGCAGAGCTCAGGAGCAGCTCAGGCTCGGGGGAATCATCATCCATGGGATCAGCTGTGGTTGGCACCAGGAGCAGGTTGGCCTTGGTGCCAGGTGCTGGCGGTGGCACAGAGACACCATCCCTCTTGTCACTGCTGATCATGGCGGTGGCACCGGGCTCCTGCCCACCGTCATCCCTCTTCCCACGGGAGTGGGGCAGGGGCTTGGCCTCCCCCCAGACCCACTGCCCGCCCCAAGGCAGCCCCGGCTCCAGCAGCTCAGCCCCACACGCCCACAGGGGGCTCAGCACCAGCAGCACCAGCAGGGCCCGGCCCGGCGCCATGGGACCTGCAGGGGACAGAAAGGGCAGGTGACATCGGGGTCCTGCTCCCCGGGGGAGAATGCTGAGCCCCAATGTGGGGTCACACTCCAGCCGAGGATCCTCCTGTCCCCCTCGGGTTTGGGGGATGGAGGAGGCACCCAGAGACCTCTTCCTGCCACAGCCCCCACCTGCGGGAGCTCAGCCCGGCTCTGCTCCAGGAGCAAGTTTTGATAAGGAAGTTGAGTGTCTGGAAATGGGAAATCAGCCGCGATGGAGGCGGCTGCTGCGGGACGGGGCAGTTGTGGGATGAGTGCGTCCATGTGGAAATGAAACCACAGGGATGTCACCCTCATTGTGACAGACACCCCTTGTCAGGGTGCCCGTCCCCCCCTCCACCCGCCGGTTGGGCTGGCACAGGCCTCCAGGGCTGAGGCCACCATGAGCCTGTGTCTCTGTGCTGGAGCAGGAGAGGCAAATCCACCCCAAACTCACCCAAATCCCCCCCATTCCATCACCAATCCCCCCACAGCTCCCTCGGCAGCCCCGGTGGGCGGCGGCCACCGCGGTCCCCGAGGATCCGCACCCAAGAGCATCCGGACACGGCTGAACGCTCCGAGCATCCCCAGGAGGCTCCCACACCCCCAGAGCACCCACCCGCCCCCCCAGACCCCAGCGACCAGCACGGAGCGTGGCACCCTCGGGGTCCCTCCCTGAGCATCCCCTTTACACCCAGAGCATCCCCGGGGCCGAACCCCGATCCAGCCCCTTCCCAGCAGGGCTCACCTGTGCTGATGGATCCCAACCTCAGGAATCACCGGCGAGGCTGGCACGGAGGGCCGAGGGCAGCCCCAGCACCGGCACCCGCGGGGCGTCGCGGGCCACCCTCCGCCTGCACCTCCGGCCGGGCGGGGCAGGGAGGGAGCGCGGAAAGCGGCTGCGGTTTCCAGAGCCCGGGGAGGGGGAGGGCGTCACGGCGAGAGCGGGGCCAGCGAGGGCCGGGGGCTGCGGGCACCCCGGGCGAGGGTGGCACGGCGTGGGCTGCTCCCCACCAAGGGGCTTCCAGCGGAGCAGCTGCGCGCCGGGGCTGGCGTCGCTCCGAAAGCAGAAGTGACGGCAAACCTGGTGCCAGGGCTGCCACCCCCGCGGGCACGGTGTGGGCATGGCCGGGGAGGGGGCCAGGGTGCCCTGAGACACCTCAGCACCGGGAAACGAGGCGGAGGAGGGTGAGGGCCTGACTTGATGTTTTGCACAGCCCTTGTGCCGGGCTCCTTCTCTCTGCACCGTCCCCAGGATGCTCGGAGGGGCTCTCGGGGGGGCTGCCCAGTATTGTCCTGGGTGTTGTCCCGGCCTCGTGGCATTGGCACGACAGGAAAGCCCCCGCCCCAACCGCAGGCTCGGGCGGGAGGCGCAGCCGCAGCCGCAGGAAGGTGCTGCAAGAGCCGCATCCGCAGGAACGGGCTCGGGGTGTCAACAACCCCCCGCCCTCGGAAAGCCCGGCCCGTCCCCGCTCCGAAACACCTGGCCAGGGGGCTGGAAAAGGGAAGAAAAGGGGCTCAGGATGTGGGATGAGCATCCCTGGGATGGATCCATGGGATCAGGGAGCACTGATTCTCTGGGAGCATCCCTGCACGGCTTGGGGGCGGTGTCAGGGTCAGGGTGTTCTGGAGGAGGTTGTGCAACATCCCCTGAAATGCCTCAGCCCTGAGAAAGCTCAAACCTGGGTGGGGTAAGAGATGCTGTTTCCAGCCCGGGCTCTGTGTCATTTCAGACTTCCTGCAGCCTGAAAACAAATTTCACCTGAGGAAGAGCAGAATGAGCCCCCCAGATCCAGGGTAACTCCCAAGCAGGGCTGTTCCTTCCTGGAAACACATCACCCCCATCCACCCCGAGATCCCATCACATCCCACACCCAGCCAAGCTCTTGGGCTCCTCACTGGGAATCACCAGGGAGATTCCATGTGTGACCCCAGGAACGGGCCCTGGCTCTCCTGGGACAAGACCAGAAGGTCCCCAAGGACCCCCTCATCCACAGCCCCCCACTGAAGCATCCCTCATTCCACATCCCAGTTATCAATCAGAGCTGGAATGCCGAGAGGCAAAGGAAAAGCCAAGCAGAGGCAGTTTATAATCAATGACTTTTATCTTTTGAAAATGGAAGCAAATATTTGGACAGATACTCTGGCCGCTCTATAAGAGCGCGTCTTTCCGGACTGGGCTGGTTCTCTCCTGGGATATCACGGCTACAAAAAGCTTCAGGCACTGACTCCGGTTGAGCCTGGCGAGGCATCAGTTCATTTAAATAAAATACAGGCTAGGAACTAAAATCTCCCACACCCCCACCCCCGGGCACCTCAATCCAGCGGCTCCCAAAACTGATTTCCCTCCAATGTTAGGAACAAACCCGAGGTCCCCGAGCACACAACCCTGAAGTCACACGTACAAATCAACACAGAAATCACCACTGTGGGGAGAACAACCTTCGGGTTTGGGATCCAAAAGGAAAAAAAAAAAAAAAATCCATAAAAATACACATCTCAGGCATTTACTGCAATACAGAAACGTCACCAAACAGCCAAAGAACCTGGAGCAGCCGGATTGTGGATCCACGGGCACAGGGCAGGGGATGCCACTTGTCCCTAAAACACAGAAATCCCACTTTTCTGAAGCTTTCCTGCTCTGCAATCCCACCACATCCTCTGTCTCCTCCATCCCGTCCTCCTCGTGCCTCTCCAGCTACGTCCCCCGGCCGATTCTGCCTCCACACACACATCCCTCCACAACAGGGAATCCTTAACCTGGAATTCTGAACATGCAAACACTGGGGAAAATGGAAAATCAGAGAATTCCTAGCTAAACTAATGGAAAATAATAAAAAAATCAATCACTTCAGCCTGGATGAGGGACTCGTGTCCACTGGGGTGCTCCTGGTGGGAGCACACGGAGCTGCCACAGGGACAGAGCCCAGCTGGGATGAGGATCCAGAGCTCTCAGACACCTGATGGTCTCTGCCCACCTTTGCATTCAGGATGGGTTATCAGCACTCCCTGGCACTGCAGGGATGGGCTGTGCCAGGAATGGCAGCACCAATCGGGCTGGGCACAGCTCTGCGGGGTGTCCTGGATCCCATTCCCAGCACAAGGACACGGCCTGGGAGCAGGGAGCCAGCCTGCCCCATCATCCCTGGCAGCTCCTCCACAGGGCACAGCCTGCCTGGGCACAGCTTTGCTGAGCTGAGCTTCCAAGGAATGCCAGGAGGAGCTCGCCAGCCTACAGCACTCACAGGGCCTCTCCCTGCAGGATCCCAAAGGAGCTGTGTGAGAAACCAGTTCTCCAAAGTGGGATCAAATCCACCCTCCCAGTGCCTTCTGCTCTGAAGGGCTGGGAGTGCAAGGTGGGGTTTGGGGTTGGAGGTCGCTCATCTGATCTGGGAACAAATCCTTTCCTGCATGGAAGGGTGGGAGGCAGGAATGGGAATGATGGACAGGAGAAAACAAATGATAAAAAAAGGTAACAACAGAGGCATTTTGTTTGTGGAGAATTATCGTGGAAAAATCACCTTTCTGCTGCTAATGCTGCTTTGGAAGCACAGAAAATTCCTATTATCAGCACTGGTGTGAAGGGCTGATGGATTCCAAAAGCTCCTTAAAATCCATGAGCTCAGGAGTGTTGGGGGGCAAGAACAAGGATTTACAGCAATGACTGCTGGCATCCCACAGCTCACCTGGAACTCCATGCTCCATGGATAAAAACATTCCTGCATGGAAGTCACTTCTGCCATGAAATGGAAATAAAAATGAGCAAGTAAAATGGGTGAGTTTGGTCATGGAAACAAACTTTGGGATTGTAGGAAAATGGGAACATGGTGCTGTCTTAAAACTTCAGTAGGAAATAAATCCCCTCACTCAGAACGATATATTTGTATTTTTCTGTCAACCAACAGGGCTGGGGACGCTTTGTGGAGGAGGAAAGGCAGCTGATCCCATATCCAAGGGGATTCCACAGGGAAGAGAAAGGAAGGGAACCCACCTGATTGTTCCAAATGGAGGATTTATACAAAATAGCTTCAGCTTTGTTCTCTGCACAGTGTAAACACCCCCCACACCCCCTGTCCCTTGGAATGGAAACACAAATACTGCAAAATGGCAAATAAGAAAAATAAAAGCAATTTTTTTTTCTATTTTTTGGCAACTCTAAAAAAAAAAAAAAAGGTTTAAGAACAATGTGGCGTTGGTCCCTAAATCTAGAAAAAGATATTTGGGCATGACATTGGAAGTCGAGAATGGATTCGTTTTTCAAGGATTCATAATAACATCTGGGAAAAAACCCCCCCAAAAAAAAAAACCTGTAAAAGTAGCACTTCTTATTTTTGACACAGTCACAGAAATTCATCGGAACATCGGGAAACGAAAAAGATCTTTCACTAAAAAGCTTGGCTTGAAATCATCGGCTCTCTCGACGTGGATTTAGGAGAACAGGAAAGCTCGTACTGGAATGCTGCAGGCTGCTGCTGGCTGAACTGGGAGCTGGGATGTGCCTGGGCTGGGGCCCCCTCAGTCCGCGATCTTGGCCATCTGCTGCTCCAGCTTGGAGATGCGCTCGTCCTGGCTGGAGATCGTGTCCTTGATGGATTTCAGCTCCTTCAAAATCTCGTCCAATTTGGCGTCGTTTTGCTGGAAGATCAGAAAGGATGAGTGAGGAGAGCTCTGGGGTTCTCCAAGGAAAGGGCTCCTCCCTGTGGGATTGTTGGAGGGATGAGGGTGTGACAGATTTGGGAGCAGTTGGGATGCTCAGGGCATGGAGCAGCATCTCCAGTGCACCCATCCAGGACCATAAAAGCCATACTTTCCTCTCTGTCCCAAAGGACAGGGATTAGTGGTGAACAAGGTGCTGGGTTAGGGTTGGACTTGGGGATCTTGAATTAGGGTTGGACTGGGGGATCTTGAAAATCTTTTCAAACATTTAGTGGTTCTGTGATTTAGAAAAAGCAATTCCAAGTAATCTTCCATGTCTACAGAAGCATTAGAATCACAGAATCATGGAATATCCCAAGTTGGAAGGGACCCACAGGGATCATCCAGTCCAACTCCTGGCCCTGCCCAGGATACCCCAACAATCCCAGGCTGTCCCTGGGGCTGTGACATCTCATGGGGAGCCTGGTCAGTGTCCCAGCACCCTCTGGGGGAAGAACCTTTTCCTGATATCCAACCTAACCTTCCCCTGGCAGAGCTCCAGCCATTCCCTCAGGTCCTGTCACTGGTCCCACCCTGGCATTCCCACCTGATGCCATCACCCCCACAATTCCTGGAGTTTACTCACAGAGTTTGAGGCATCCGCTGCTTTCTTTGGAGCGTTTATGAGATCACCCTTCTTGTTGCCAGCAGGTTTGTTGTCCAGTATGTTCTTCTTGACCACCTTGAGATCCCTGTTTTTGCCTGGAATGTACCCGTGCTTCAAGGAGATGAGGAGAGGATCAGCGTTCTTCCCCTCAAACCACTCCTCTGCTTCCAGAGCTGCTTCTGGGCCCGCTGTGTCCGGGTACAGGTCATCCTGGAAGAGGTCAGACTGCAAGGCAGGAGACACGGATCAGTCAGGAGCTCTGGGAGGCAGGAGCTGGCTCCAAAGCCTGGCCCCAGGGCAGTGCTCACCTTGCGGGGAACCGTCATGATGATGGGCTCACACTTCCTCTCGTGGAGCTTGAAGAACCTGCGTGGAAAAGGAGAGGTGGGACAGGGAGTGAGGACCAGGGAGATGGAGGAGATAGGAAAGGAGCAACCCCAAGGAACCACAGAAATCCCAGAGACCATCAAGTCCAACCATTTCCCCAGCACTGCCAAGGCCACCATAACCCACGTCCCCAAGTGCTGTTAATCCCTCCTGGATGGGGACTCCACCCCTGCCCTGGGCAGCCCCTTCCAATGTCTGACCCCACTTTCCACGAAGAAATTGCCCCTAATATTTGAGGACATTTCCCCTTGTCTTATCACTTGTTTCCTGGGAGAAGAGATGGCTCATGTTCCCAACCAGCAGTGATGTTCCCTCCTGGAGCCACCACAGTGACATCCTGAGATGTTTCCTGCCCTCCCCAGGTTTTCTGAACCACGGCTGCCCTGTGCTCAGTGCTCTGCTCCTGTAACCACTCCTGAAGTGCCCAGCCCCAGCTCCCAGCCCTGGGATGAGCTCTCCTCACCTGGCAATCTCACACTTGTTGACATCAAGGCCCCTCTTTGGCATGAACCCCATGCCCCTCTGCGGCTCTTTGCTGCTGAAGGTGTTGAGGTAGTGAACGTACGGGGACTCATCCGTGATCTCGAAGTAGCGGATGCTGCTGTCACCCTGCAAGGAACCCCAGGAGAAGCTGCAGCACCTGTGCCCACACTGCTGCTCCCATTTCCTTCCAGGAATGCTGCCATGGACAGCTCACAGCTGTTTCTGAAGCAAGGCTGATCCCCTCCACAATCTGAGTCCCTCAACTGAACAATTCCTCCCAGTCCTGTTCCAAACACTGTGGGACAGGGATTGAGCTCTGCTCCCAGGCTGGGAGTGGCCCCTTCCTCACCTCTTGTGGAAAAACTTCCTGCCACAATCAGGCAGAAATGCTATAAACCAGTTTATTCTTAATTCCAAGCAACTCCACCACACTGCTGTCTCTGAAACTGCAGGAGAGGTGGCAGACAGAAACCAAATGTTCCTCATCAGCTGCTACAAAGATGGGATTCATGAACATACTTGTATGGATCTTCCTTTGTAATTCCTTGCTCATCTTGGCTTGGGTTCCTATTTGTAGGAGTCCATGACATGTGGCCACCTAATTCCTACAAATTGCTTTTAGAAAGGAGCACCTAATTCCAGTTTTCTATTTTTAACCCCATAAAATCAGAGAGCTGCCACATGCTCCACCATCTCTGAGGACACGGAGGACAACACCCAAAATGGACCTTCCACCCATACCAGTATAAAATCATCCAGGTCAACACCAGCAAGAAATGTTTAGGCAACAGTGTGGGGACTTGTTGCATTAGGAGCAGCTTTACCTAACCCATCTCCAAGAAACATCCAGGTCCTTCCCAGGTTCTGCAGAATGAGGATCAAATCCCTTCCAGAGCAGCCTGGTCTCTCTGCAGCCCCAAATTCACAGCAGCACTGATATTTTGGGGAACATTTCACAGGCCCCACTCCCTCCAGGTGCCTCCAAAGCCTCTCCTTACCTTCCCACACAGGTAAATGATGTTGGTGTCTGGGTCATAGAAGGGCAGCAGGACCCCATTGCTGGTGTCCATCTCGTGAAGGGCTATTGGCTCCTCCATGTTTTTCTGGAAATAAAAATGCCAGGGATGTTAATAAAGAATGGAAAAGCTTCTGTTCATGGAGGGAGGGTCTAAATTATTAACACTCCGTAGGCAGTGAGCTCCCAGTGGTGTCTGCACCACCCAGAAGGATCCGTGTGTTACAACAAATGCTGGGAACGTTCATGAACTGATTCATTCCTCAAGGGCATTTTAATCACTAAATTAAATAAAAACAGGAGCCAGGAAAATTCACCAAGTCAAGGGAAATATGTGACACAGTGAGTTAGGATGGGAGATGGGACAGAGCCTCCTTCCCTGGGGACACTCAAAAGCCACCTGGACACAATCCAGGTGGTCCTTCCACCCTGAACCCTCCTGGGATTGCTGCTGGCCTGCTCTCCACAATGCACAGAGAGAAGTGACCTTCCCACAGCCCCTCTGCTCCCTGTGCATCTTCCCAGGCACTTCCAACCTGCAGCTCCTGCTCAGTTCCTTCACTGAGTGACCACACAGCCAAAATCATGGAAGCAGGAGCAGGCAGCAGATGGAGTGGGAATAACCTCAAGTATATAAACTATGAATTTAGGAAGGAATTCTTCTCTGTGAGGGTGGTGAAGCCCTGAAAAAGAAGACCCCAGAGAAGCTGTGGCTGCCCCATCCCAAGGCCACAGGATGGACTTTGAGCAACCTGGGCTGGTGGAAGGTGTCCCTGCCCACAGATTGGAACGGGATTTGCTTTAATGCCCCATCCAACCCAACCCAACCCATTCCAGGATTCCATGGCTGCAGGGCTGGGTTGGGAGGAGCAGGCCATGGATGTGAGGAGCCCAGGGATGCAGGCTGGGCTCGTACCGGGTTCCACAGGGCCAGCTGCCGCTCGCTCATGCGGCTGAAGCCGGTGGTGAAGATGTTCCCGTCCGCCAGGAAAATGGCTCGCATGGGCCGGGCTCCCTCGTGGGTTTTCTCCTTCTCCTGGAAAAGAGGAGCAGGTCAGGATCAGCAGTGAACAGAAAAACCCTTGGAGTGGTGGCTCCTCTCTGGACACACTGCTCCTCTCCAACACCCAGCTCTCCTCCCCTGCTGCCTGAGGGAAGAGCCCAAACACTGAGCCAGGGGAGAAGGGGACACTCCTGGCTCATTCCAGCTTTGCCTCTTGCAAGGGTGAAGGAAAACCTCTTTGTAAGCTACAACTAAAGCTCTGCTTTGCATGCACAACTCTGGAACTGTAATTATACAAAAGGATTAGATGTGGAATTACACTCCTGCAGGTTTAAAACTGAGCCCTAAAATCCCAGTTCAAACACTAATCCCAATAAACCCAGACAAATCCTCCAACTCCTACTATTCCTCCTGTAATTTCTGAAGAAAGAGACTGAACGTGGTGTGTAAAACCCACATATTTCTTCCATATTTTCTTCACTTCCTGCTGGAGTGAATCCAGTTATTTCTTTAATGATTAAGCAAACTTACAGCAACAATTTCTTGTTTCCTGGGGTCGATAACTCGGACTTTTTTGTCTTTGGAAGCTGTGCAGATGAGGCTGCCGTTGCGATTCCAGCTCACGTTGTAGATCATGTCCACGTGCATGTCATCCAGGTTGATGAGGGCTTCTCCTGTTCCCACATTCCAGATGATGATGGCATTATCACAGCCTAAAATGGGAAATAACAGCTCCAGTCACAGAACTGAGGGACACAGGGGCAAAGCCAGAGGTGGGGAACAAGGGATAAACCCCCTGCAGCTCCAAAGTGTTTTTGGGGAAACCAAAACCCAGACTGGGAGCTCAGGAGGGATTTTTATCAATGGATAACACCCAGCTCATCCAACAATCCAGCTGAAAGGACTGACTTCTTTCCTTGGGACCCAACCAATGAAAGTCTCAGATGGTTCCAATGGATAATGAATTATCCAATTTATTTTCATAATGGTGTGACTAATTTTCAGTGGTCAAAAGAATCTCATTCTGTGGATTGTACTGGCCAAGGAGACAATTTGGAAAATGCTGCCCATGAGAGCTTGTGGGAGGAACAGCTGGACTCTGGGATACCTTGCAGGGATCAAGGGAAACGAGAAACACTTGTGCCTGTTCTAAAAGTATATGAGAACAGGGATGTGGGGAATACAGATGTAAATTGTTCTTGCAGATCAAATAAAGTCTAGAACAACTTTCACACTCCAATTCCAGATAATTCCTTGGTGCTTATCCCTGTAAACTGAAGATAAAAAAGACTGCGATACAGAGGGGGCTGTGAGCCACGTGTCCCAGTGCTCCCAGCTACTGCCACGGGTCTTGTGATTCCCAGGGATCTGAGCAGCTGGGAGAGGCAAGAAGGAAAAGCTGGAGAGGAAGGAAGGCAGGGAGAGGAGCTGTTGATGCCCATTCCTGTGCTCCTACCTGCGCTGAGCAGCACGTTCCGCGCCGTCGGATGCCAGGCCACGATGCCAACTCTCTTGGAATGGCCTTCTAGCACTACCACAGGCTCTGTCAGGGACAGGGTGAGCCCATTCTCGGGAATCTGCCACACCTGGGAGGGACAGGAAAGCAAAGGAAAGCTGCTCAGGCGAGGGCAGCCCCTCTGCAGAGCGTGTGGCTCGGCTGCTTCCCGTGTCCCACAGCTGCCGGAGCTGCCAGTGCCCCGTGTAAACAGGGAGGGAATCAGGGAGGGAATCAGGGAGGGAATCACTCCCAGCTGTCAATAAACCCTTGGCTGATCCATGAGGAACATCCTTCCTCACTCCTGGGCCAGCACAAACCCACAGCTCCTCATGGTGCAACCCCTGCATTTCCATGTGCACAGACCCACTCTGCTCCTGCTCCCCAAGGAATCTGGAAAATCTCCCCTGCAGCTCCAATTCCATGGAAAGAGTTGCTGCCTTTCCAAACTATGCCTGTCCTGCTGCAGCTCTACCACTGCCTACTTTTGATTATTTTAGGAACACCAGCAATTCATTTTCCTGTTAGATTCAGGATCCTTCCAGATCCCATTTAATTAGAGAATGGTTTGGTCCTGGAAGAAGCCAGAGCAGCCCAAATCAGCTCTGCCTGTTCACTTCTTGCCTGGTTACACAACCCTTCTGTTGCAAACTTCCTCAGGGAAGGGCCACCAGGAGGAGGAACAGCCCCCCAAGGATGCCAGAGCCCTGGAATTCCAGCAGGAGGGAGGTGGCTTTTGCAGCTGGCAGCGACCAGGGATGGGACAGACAAACCCATCACCCCAAAGCCCCAGGGCAGGATCAGCCCCACCAAAACTATTCCTGCAATTCAGCACTGGACAATCATCTTGGAATTGAATTTGACCTACATAGAGTGTATTAAAAAATGCCATGGAATTCCAGGGAGAGCTCCTCGGGGAGCAGTTGGAGCTGCTGAAGGTAGGTGGCAGCATTAGAGCACGTTTGCTTTGCTTCCCATTGTTTGCTTTTCCTGGAGTTGGGAGAATGGGGCTTGCCAGCCCCTGCCCACCATGCCCAACAAGCTGTGGGATGTGAGGGAGTGGATTTAGGAAGTGAGGCAGACTGAGATGGACACGTGGATTTCTGTGCTAATCCCACAAAAAATCGTGGATTTTTGTGCTAATCCCAGTTTTTCCCTTCTCAAAAGAATGACGGGCACTGGAAAAAAAACCCAGCAAGATGCAGAGATTCTCAGTGGGTACCAGCTCACCTCTAAATAACCCAAAACTGATTTAGTTTTTCATGGACACAGCTCCCAGTGCCCTCCTTCCCACACCCTCAGCTTCCAGGAGGAATGACCACAACGGGAACACTTCCCCAGGAGAGGAATGCTCTGCAAGGGGTGAAAATGGTCACAGCCCCAAGGCTGCCAGAGCTCCAGAGCCTTTGGACAAGGCTCTCAGGCAGAGGGTGGGATTGCTGGGGTGTCTGTGCAGGGCCAGGATCAAACCAGGATCACAGGGAAATTACAGAACTTTGGATGCAGGATTTACCCTGCAAAAGGCGAGGACTCAATTCTGTTCTGCACCATCTCTGCCAGGAAGGATCCTGAGATCCCTCTGAGCAAGTGCAAAGGAGCCAGAAAACTCCAGAACCAAATTTAAACATGAGACAGCAAGTGCAAGGGGTGGGAAAGGGAAGGGAGGCAAAATCCCAGTGAAAAAGGGTTTTTTAAAAAAGCCTCTGGAGGACACATGGAATTTTCTCTCAGGTAAAGAAAGCCCTGGGAGCAGCTGCAGAGCACTGCAATCCTGGGCAGATTTCAGACCACTGACCCAATAATCCTGCCTGCTATTCCCAAAAATAATAAAGAAACAAATGTGGAAGGCCAGGGCATGGTCCCAGCCCCTCATTCCTGCACAGGGTGGGGGTCTGGCCTCAGCCTGGGATCAAATAAGGTTCACAGGGAAATCACAGAATTTTGGATGCAGGACTTACCCTGCCGAGGGGGAGGACTCAGGATGACTCCAAGGAAACCTGAAATTGCTGCAGGATTGCCTGGGCTTTAGGAAGGGTTTGTCAGCTCTCCCTCCCGTGGGTGTCTGAGTGTTTTTTGGGGGGTTTATGTTGTTATCAAGGGGGTTATGATGTTATCAAGGGGGTTATGATGTTATCAAGGCTGTTTGTTTGTGCAGGAGGAAGTGGAGGGGTGGCACAGCTGAGGGAGAGGTTTAGGGCTGCAGGAAGGGCAGGAGGGGAAGGTTTTGCACAAACAGCATGTGAGAAAGAAAACAAAGCAAACTTTTCTTTCACCACCTTTAAAGAGAAGCAAAAATGGCCTCCTCTGGCTGTGCACAAATTGAAAAGAAGTTTAAATCCATGTCTATAAAAAACATTACTTCCTGCATCATACATATCAGTTTTTATCACTTTAAATAAGGAAGTAACTGAATTTGAGGCCTGGATTTATCCATGGCCCTGCAGGAAGAGGCTCTTGGTGCATCATTTTTGCAGGGTCACATCTTCTCCTCATTCCCCCTGCCCTGCTTGGTGGCTCAGGTCACTGCAAGAGCTCTCTTTGATTTTTAAAGGAATTTGCTCCATCACATGAGCTCTGCTCTGGCCTTTCCACACAAATTCCTTAAAATCCACCTTCAGATGAAGAAAATTTTCCATCTCTGAGGAAGGGCCTCGATACCATCTAGAAATCTTTATCCACTAAAACATTTTCCAGCTGAACCAAAAGCCTGCAGTACATCAGAGCCATTCAGCACAACATCAAGCTGGAATATTTAAGTAATTCCTCATTTGCTGGCACAAAGAAACAATTCCTCCAAGGGAAGAGGCCACAGAAGGTATTTGCAAGGAAGGCTTTGGAGAGGGATGTCAGGTCCTCCCCTCCTTCCCAGTTTTGTCTCCAATGCTGTCTGGTATTCCCAACACCAAACCTGTTCAAGGTTTATGGACAGGTTTTGAAAAAATCTGGGAATTTCTTTAGAGGAAAAGGTTTCTGGCTTTGGATAGAGCCAAGTGAAGCTTCCTTGTGCCACAGGGGGGCTGCAGAGTCATGGCTGCAGGGAATCAGCCCTGTCCACCTGGAGACAGTGGTTTGCACCTCAAATCCATTTTCTATCCCTCAATACCATCCCAAATCCGTACTCTATCCCTCAATACCATCCCAAACCTGTATTCTATCCCTCAATATTATCACAAACCTGTATTTTATCCCTCAATACCATTCCAAATCCATAGTCTATCCCTCAATATCATCACAAATCTGTATTCTATCCCTAAATACCATCCCAAATCCATATTCTATCCTTCAATACCACCCCAAACTCATGTTCTATCCCTCAACACCATCCCAAATCCATGCTCTCTCCCTCACACAGTCCCAAATCCACGTTCCTTCCCTTAGATCATCCCAAATCCATATTCTCCCCCTCAATACCATGGCAAATCCACATTCTCCCCCTCAATATCCTCCCCCAAATCCACATTCTCCCCCTCAATACCACCCCAAATCCTCATTTTCTCCCTCACACCATCCCAAATCCACATTCTCCCCCTCACACCATCCCAAATCCACATTCTCCCCCTCAATACCACCCCAAATCCACATTTTCTCCCTCAATACCATCCCAAATCCACATTTTCTCCCTCACACCATCCCAAATCCACGCTCTCCCCCCTCAATACACGTCTGGCTGACGTAGCTGAGATTTCTTGTGAGATCCTAAATCCCTGAGTGCCAGGGCACAGATGGTCTTTAAGAACCAGGATTTTTCTCCAGCAGCTGGAATTGCACAGAATCCCCCACGTCACTTTCTGTGCCTCCCATCAGCAGAGCTCGGAGCCCACGAGCAGCCACGTGTCCTGCAAAGCTCCCTGGGTTTATTCTGCTCAGGAAGCAGAACCCAAACCCTTTCTCCAGGAAAAAAGGACACTGAACTGTCCATGACAGGCTAGAAAAGCAATTAAAATTGGGAAAGCTCATTAGCTCACTGCCAAAAGTCCAAGCCAGGGGTGTTCTTTGGGATGTGCAGTTCCCAACTGTCCTGAATGACTTGGGATCCATCACTTCCCATTCCAAACCTCCAGCTAACACACCCCAGCATCTCCCAAACCCTGCACATCCCTGATCCTGGAAGTGCAGCAAGGACTCACCTATTTCCCCTTCCACTCCAGACAGGTCACACCAAACACAAAACCCCCAGAGGGCTCCACCCCACCCTGCTCCACCCTCCTTCCCACACGGTTCCTGCCTCCAAGGATGGATGGGAAGCTCATCCCCACCTTGGGATGTGTGGAGAACCCCCAGAGTCCAGCAGGAGGTGCAGATTCCTGCAGTTTGTGTCCCCATCAGGATGGTGTGAGGGGCACAGTGGATTTGGGATGGTGGGAGGGAGAGAGTTTGTCCACTTGGACAATTTGCAACTGAACTCTGTCAGTTTTTCTCCACAATTCAGTCCCTCTGGAGCCTCCCAACATATTTCTCATTGCACTTGGATTACAGACTTATTTTGCCTCCAAGGAGGCAGCTCTGGCCCTTCACTGATGCTCACATTTCACAAACATTCCCAATGTGCAGCCCTTCTCCATTCTGGTTGGAGAAACATTCCTGCATCCTTCCAAAGCTCAGTTCCAGCCCAGTAGTGAGAGTTGCTAACACAGAAGTTGTTGTTTTGTTTAATATTAAATATAGCCCATTTTGTTAACATGTTTCAGCTTCCAAGACTGAGAGATCACAGGCAAGAGCTGTCCCAGGAAAAGCCTCTTGGGATGAATCCCCTCCCAAACATTTTAACGATGAACAGAAGCAAAGGAATTTATCTGACATGATCTATAATAAGATTTCAATATAACATTCAGCCTACAGCATTTCTAAATATGGCCAAAGATCCCTGGAGTTATTTGGCATTATTTCATCTTCCAAGGATTTTCTTTCACTTATTCTGCTGTGTTTGCATACGTGGGATTCCACATCCGTCACGGAGCGAGCCCGGCTGGGCCATCACTGACTTAAAACAGGTCTAAATCCAAGGCTGGCAGGTGCAGAACTTGTGAAATTATTTTTATTTATTTATTAAAAAAAAAGACCTGCTCAAAACTGGGAGATACAGGGAAAATTTCAAGCAACTTCCTTAAATCAAGGGTTGAAGGAATCTTGGAACCTTCCAACCCTGGATTCCTGGGCTCCTCACATCCATGCCCTGCTCCTACCAGTGAGCTGGGCTCATTCCCTTCCAATCTCTTCCTCTTCCCAATACACACTTCTACATCCATTGGGATATCTGAGGTAAGGAGCCATCTGTCTTCTCAAAGCCCAACAAATCAGAACACCTCACCACAGACCAGCACTCTCATCCTCTTCCCAAACAGCAAACAAATGCCAAGGGGAAGGAAAAATGGAAAAAGATTCTTCCCTGTGAGAGTGGTGAGGCCCTGGCACATGTTGGAAGTGTCCAAGGCCAGGTTGGACAGAGCTTGGAGCAACCTGGTCCATGGAAGGTGTTGGAATGGGATGAGCTTTGAGTCCCTTCCAACCAAACCCTTCTGCGGTGACTCTGCCCTCACCTCACCTCGGAACAGAAGGTTCCTGGAGACACCTCCAGGAATTCCAGAGTCCTCTGGAGCAGGAGCAAAGCCCACTCCACAGGGAACACTCACCATGACAGTGCAGTCCTCGGAGCCGCTGGCGATGACCTGGTCATTGTGGGGACACCAGTCGATGTCCAGCACCGGCCCCGTGTGCCCACACACTGTGGGGTAGGACTTGTCAATCCTGCCTGTCTGGAGGGAAGAAGAAGAAGAAAGAGGGCTGTGATATCCTGAAGGAAGGTGCTTCCCAACCCTCTGTTTGCTCTTTCATATCCTCAATTCCATGAGATTTGAACTCGTGGATCAGCAGAGGAACAGACCAGCAGCTCTTCCCCAGCATCAATGAGCTGGAAACTCCTCATAGAGCAAAGGAAAGGGTTCAGAGATCCAGCACAGCTAGATTGTGATCCCACACCTCAGCACCTGCTGCCACACCATCCCTTTTTCCACCCCAGCTTTTTGGGAAGAGCAAAGCTCTGGTTTCATCTGTGCTTCTCAACAGAGAGAGCTGAAGACAACCAAGCTAAAAATGTCATTGGAGGGCATTGCTGGTCACTGAATTCACCAGGTCTGCTTGGTTTCTTAAAACAGAAGGATTTTGCTTGGATGGGAAGATTTTAGGATGCAGTTGTGCAGAGGAAAATTTGTTTTGAGGAATAAAAGTTGCCAACAATGACTGTGACAGCCACACCAACCTCTCCATGGCCAGAGGACCGGGACCACCAATGCCAAGCTCCCTACAGGGATAACACTTCCAAGAAAATGAACTAATGAGCCACCTAAACCTGAACTGGCACAAATCCAGAGATGCTGAAACACCAATTCTGCCCCTGGATCTACCTTTTGCTGAGGAGCCCCTGAAAGACCTGATCCCACAAAGAAGGAAAAGGAAAATCACCCTCATCATCCTCCTCTCTCTTGGGCAATATTTACAATGCTGAAGATGCACAGCAATAACAGCAGGGTGAGGAGGAAACTCCTCCACTTCCACAGCCTCACCCCTGGTCCTGCTCCATGGGGTTTTGTTTCCAGGGAATGACCTTTTCATGATGAGTGATGGGAGAAGAGACGCAGCAGGGAGAGGTCTGGGATGGGGTTGTCTCCTTTTGTGTTTAAACACGCAGAAGAAATGGTTGGAATTTCACTTGTGCCATTGGATGGGAACATTCCCCAACCTTGGAGGTGACATTCCTTAATTTATGCCTCCCACCCTCCTATTCAAGGCTGATAACCAGAATAATGCTGGACATTGGCTTTAGAGGATGACTGACCTGGAGCCTTCCACAAACAGCAAAACAAGATATTGATCCCAAAAAAATCCCACTAGCACCTAAAAAGCCAAATTTAGGCTTCAAAAATAAAAAAAGACTCAGTGATTCAGCTGCTTTTGGAATTATTAAAAGGGGAAGAGTTGTGGATGAAAAGCCATAAACCTGCCATTCAAAAATTAAAGCCTGTGTAATCCCTTTTGGATGCCATAATGTGAAATAGGATTTAAAAAATTAATACACCCAACTGCCATGTAGAATTCATCCATTTTAATTTGCCCAATTAAAAGGAGAACCATGCAGAGCACATGAACTGCAGAAGGCACATGACAGGCCACAGACAAATACAGGCCTGAACCAAAAAGAAAAAATAAGAATAATAATGCAAAATGTCAGGGACTGCCTGTTCTGGCTCCCTGGCAGGAATCAGTGGGATCCTCCAGGAGGAGCTCCTGGTAACTATTTCCAGGCTGCACAAGCACTTGTCAGCTCAGTTTTGGGCTTTTACAGTCATTTATTACTGTGGGGAGTCAAAAAAAAATTAATTTCAGCAAATTAAACCCCAAACTTCACCTTTCAGTTTTGACCATGATGAATCTGCACAGGCTGAGCAGGAGCAGCCAAGAGCCTGTGACAGCAGTGACACCCAGGAGCTGCTTCCCACCACTTGAGATGGAGCTTGGCTCCTAAACCAGGATCCTGCACTTCCACGAGGAGCAGAACTTCCAGAATCATGGAAGGGGTTGGGCTGGAAGGACCTTAAAGATCATCCAGTCCCTGCCATGGGCAGGGACACCTTCCACCATCTAAGCTCCATCCAACCTGGCCTTGGGCACTTCCAGGGATCCAGGGGTATCACAGCTTCTCTGGGAAACCTGAGCCAGGGCCTCAGCACCTTCATAGGCAGGAATTTCTTCCCAAAATCCCATCTCAATCTACCCTCTTTTGTCTTAAAGCCATTCCCCCATGTCCTGTCACTCCATCCTTTATCCCAAGTCCTTCTCCAGATCTCCTGGAGCTCCTTTAGGCACTGGAAAGGGCTCTGAGGTGTCCCTGGAGCCTTCTCTTCTCCAGGTGAACACCCCCAGCTCCCTCAGCTCAGAGCATCTCCATGGCCTCCTCTGGACTCTCTCCAAGAGTTCCACGTCCTTCCTGTGCTGGAACTCCAGAGTGCTGCAGGTGGGGTCTGACCTGAGCAGGGCAGAGGGACAGAATTCCCTGTGCATCACCTACAGACACCTCCTGTCCCACCTGCACCAGGACACTGACACCAAACCCCGTTTCCAACAGGGAGCAGACAGGGACAACGGGGAAAGGAGATGTTATTTAGCAGCAGTGGGGGAGAGGCAGCAACCTCAGGCTTGTTTATCCACAAAGAATTATCAAACCAAGGAAGAGAGGACAAAGCAGAGCAGGAGATGTCCCACACAGCATCTCCATGGGATCTGGCAGAAGAAGACAATCCCAGGGAGATGAAGAGCCCAGGAGCATCAACACCTTCACTTGGGATTGAGAGGAGAGACTCTGCTGCTCACCAGGAATAATCCCAGAATCATTCAGGAATAATCCCAGAATCATTCAGGCTGGAAACTATCCCAGAATCATTCCGGTTGGAAATAATCCCAGAATTATTCAGAAATAACCCCAGAATCATTCAGGAATAATCCCAGAATCATTCAGGAATAATCCCAGAATCATTCAGGAATAATCCCAGAGTCATTCAGGAATAATCCCAGAATCATTCAGGCTGGAAATTATTCCAGAATAATTCAGAGACAACCCCAGAATCATTCAAGAATAACCCCAGAATCATTCAGGAATAACCCCAGAATAATTCAGGAATGATCCCAGAATCATTCAGGTTGGAAAGCCCCCCAAGATGACCCAACCAGTGACCAATCCCCACCTTGTCACCCAGCCCAGAGCCCCGAGCGCCACGTCCGGCCCTTCCTCGGCCGCCTCTGGGGATGTACAAAAATGAGCAGCAAACACCAAAACGAGACTAAATAAGGACATAAAAGTGCTGCAGGAGGCCCCAGCAGGGCGAGCAGGAGCTCCAACCCTTGGGGAGAAGCTCCTGCCTTGTGGTCAGAGGCACAAAACGGTCTCTGCAGAGCAGAGGAAACCGCGGTGTCTTCCTGAGCACGTTCCGAGAGCTCGGCGCCGCATCCGCCCCTCGTCACCAACATCTCCAGCAGAGCCCTGTCACCCCACAGGGGACAGCACAGGACAGCCACCCCCAGCACCACCCCAGGGCTGAGCCCTCAGAGTGAGCCATGAGCAGCTTTGAGCTCAGGGATGTGTTTTACCACCTCTCAGCATCGCTTTTGCAAATTCCATCCATCGGGTTCCTCCTCCCGGAGATTCCTCCATCAGATTCTGCCCCCTGGAGCACGGAACCCCAATTCCCAGCACAGCACTGTGCTCAGAAAAATCAGTATTTTCAGGGATTTGCCAAAAGGAAAAGCTGCACTAGGGTTATAAAAACCCACCAGGCTGCAAAAATCACCAATCCCATGGTTTTCAACACAATTATTTTACAATTGGGACAGCACGAGGTTTGGCAGCTGGGTGTGCTTCCACGACACCCTAATGCTCCCAGGTTTGGGGATTTATTTATTTATTTGGAAAATGTAATCTTATAATTAGGAGAGGATTTAAAATAAATCTCGAGTGCTGATACACAGCTTAAAATTAACTTCAAGAAATTCAATCCTTCTCACAATCCACCGGGGTTGTGGTTTGACACATCCCTGATAACTTTTGAAATCTGGAGTTGTATTTTATAAAATGTTGGTCAAAAAGGTGAATTTGAGGATTTTTTAATAAAGTTGGTTTTTGTCTGAATACACACTCAATATTCAGGTGTTTCAGCAAGGGGCAAATTTTCCTTATTAAATTAATTGAAATTATTAAAATTAAATTTTAGTGTATCTAATGTATTCCAGATTAAATAAAAAATAAAAGTTAAATCATAGAAATACTAAACACAGACCAAAAAAAAAGTGACAGATGAGAAGAAAAAAATTATGATTAAATCCAAAAGGGATGGATAAGCAACACAAGAAAAGTGTTCCTAAAAGTGGGAGTTTTATGAATTAATTTGAGTGTCTTGTGATCGTTTCTCTGCCAGAAAAGGGCATTTGGTGGCAGGAAACAGCTCATGGATTATGGTAAAAATATCAGAGAGAACAGCTGCTTCCCCAGCCCATGGCTGTGCTCCTTGAAATCTCCATTTAAATTAGGGAAGTGGCATCGAGTTGCACAAGCCAAAGCAGCTCCCCCCGCCCTCACTCTGCACAAGTTTGAGGAAGGAAATCAGGACACAACTGCAAAGTTTGAAACCCCAACCCACTGCACCTTTTCTCTGCTAGAGAAAATACTCCTCTTTTCTTTAAATTGTGGGTTTTCTTCAAAAAAAACACTCCTGAATTTCATCCAGGGAACTTCTGAGCACTGAGGCTCCATCTCTGGCTGCAGCAGCTGGGCCTGGAGGAGGCAACTGGGAGAAAATTGGGGTGGAATGGAAATTCCTGCCCATGCCCAGCAGCCATCAGGCATCCTGAACTAATCTGGAAGATTAGGAAGTGTTATTCCCAAAAGATCCACTGCAAAGTCAGGCAATAAGAGGCCACTGTGCTCTCCAAGAATCCCCCAGCAGTGCTCCTGTTGTCACCTTGGCAGCTGCAGGGCTGTGACATTGGATATTGGGGAACATTTCCACACTGGAAGGGTGGGCAAGCATGGAAGAGGCTCCCCAGGGAAGTGGGGGAGTCACCATCCCTGGAAGTGTTAAAACACAAGAAGTTGGGGCATTTTGTGATGTGGTTCACTTGCTCAAAGGTTGGACTTGATGAGCTTGGAGGGCTTTGCCAACCTCAAGGATTCCATGATTCTGTGATTCCATCCCAGGCTGCCACAGAATGGACACATGCTGGCTTTAAAAAGTTAAAAAAAAAATCCCAAAAACCAACACAAACAGCCCTCAGAGCCAACCCAACCTGCAAAATCCCAGCACTAGGAGCTGGGAGTGCAGCACAGCTCCAGCATTTCCATGGATATCTGTCCCAGAAATGACATTACAATTAAAAGGGACAGAAGTAGTGCTTTTTTCCCTCTCTAAAATATAATTTCCAAAGCAATTCATCCCCCTGCTCCTTCTCAACTGCAGGAAAGCCAATGGGTATCCCAGGAACTGAGGGCTCTGGATAAAGTGTAAAATCCTGCTGCTGTTCAGAGGATGAGCATCCACCCAGAGAGAGCAGAGCTGCTGGGCAAGGAGACAAAGATCCACAAGGATCCACAGAGATCCACAAAAATCATCCCCATGAGCTGGGGACAGATGATCCAGGGCTTCACCAAGTAAAACTTCCATTTTTATTACTGGACAAACCCTTAAAATTGCAGAGATATTTGTACAAACCTCTGGCTCTAAGACAGGGGATGGAATTTGCTGCTTTTTTCCCTGGAGGAATGAGATCCATTAGCCCCTCTGCTGCCCTCTCTTCCCTACTGCATTAGAACCTGATGATCCATTGGAATCAAGCTGACAGTGATAAATAGAAACTTCTTTTTATAGAGAAAAATCCAAGGTGAAATAAAAGGACAAAATCCATCACACTCTCCCTAAAATGGCAGGAAAGGCTCAATAAACCCATCACAGCAAAAAAACTCCTGGTTTTGTTCTACACAGAGTTCAGAAAATGATGATTTTCTTTCCCTCAAATCCTTCCTGGTGGAATAGGAATTGGGAAGAGCTGCTTAACAGCTCTCATGGATGAACACCAAGGCCTGTCACTTGCAGAACAACATATTCCTTGGAGGAGATCATTCCCGAGGTGTGCACGCCCCCACCCACATGCTAATTGCCTCTGAGGGCACCATCTGATCCCAGATCCTGCTGGGAAGGGGGTGAAGGAAGGGATCAGGAAAATGGAAAAATCTAATTAAAGCTATATCCAAAAGGGACTGAATAAACCTCTGGTAAAAGCCTTATGTAACACAGCTCGTGGCTGAATGGATCTTTCTGCGTGAACTCAAACAAAAAGGAACATTTGCAGCAGGTTTTTCTGTGCAGATATAAAAACTGGCAAAGAGTTTTGGAGGATGGGAAAAAAGAAATTTTTCTCTACTTCTGCTGGAGGACACATCCAGCACCAGAACCACCCTTTGAATCCAGGTGTTTCCAAGTCATCCTGCCCAACGTATCAGGAAACCCAGGGAATTTTTATCTGGTACCTTCCCTGTGTACCCAGAGCTTTCCCTCAGAGAAAACCAACTCTACAACCACAGCCCAGAACAAGCAGTGAAGTTTCCAGCTCCTTCCCTGGTGAGCAGAGTTAACACTGATTATCCTGACTCTTATCACCTCCACAACCCTGACCGGGAGGAATTACAGCTTTCCCAAACTATGCGGCTCATTCCAACAGAGGCCAAACCCCCAGACCGAGCAACCTGTGGGAATTCAGATTGTGTGATGCTCAGCAGCTCCTGCCGGAGCATGGGAATGGCGATTCCTGGCAAAGCCCCTGCACATGTGCGTGCAGGAAAACAGGAAGCTCACACAAAGCATTTCCACAGCAGCAAAGCCGGCTCGGCCGCGCTGCTCCGGGGATGGAAAGATGATGCAGGGAGGGAAGAGGATGCAGCTCCTGGGTCTGCCGCTGGTGCAAGGGGACGGAGAGACCCTCGGCAGCACGGGGGAGCCGGGGACGCGGCGGGGACGTGGGTGACACGGGTTAATTCGGGCACACACACGGGTTATATCCCGCATATGGGTAAATGAATTCGGGTTAATGAATCCCCGCGCGCACGGGTTAATTCCTGCGCTCACGGTTAATTCATTCCCGCACACACGGGTTAATTAAGTCCCGCGCACACGGGTTAATTCCCGCGCACACACACGGGTTAATTCATTCCCGCGCACACACACACGGGTTAATTCTCTCCCGCGCTCACGGGTTAATTCCCACACACACACACACAGACGGGTTAATTCATTCCCCCCCCACACACACACGGGTTAATTCCCACACACACGGGTTAATGCTCTCCCGCGATCACGGGTTAATTCCCGCACACACACAGACGCACAGACACAGACACACACACACGGGTTAATTCATTCCCCCACACACACACACGGGTTAATTCTCTCCCGCGCTCACGGGTTAATTCCCGCACACACACACACACAGACACACACACGGGTTAATTCATTCCCACACACACACACAGACAGACAGACAGACAGACACACACACACACAAACACACGCACACACGCACACACACGGGTTAATTCTCTCCCGCGCTCACGGGTTAATTCCCGCGCACTTGCCGCGCCGCGCCCCCGCCCCCGCCAATCAGCGCGGCGGCCGCGAGCGCTGCCATGACCATATAAGGTAAAAAGCCGCGGCCGCCGCAGTGCCGCTGCGGAGAGCGCGGGTGCGCGCGCGCGGGAGGCGGGGCTTGCGGCGAGGGGCGGGGCCTCCCCTCACGCCGGTGTCCGCCCCCCCCCCGAGCACATGGAGCGGGGTCCCGGGGGGCTCATCCCGCCCCAAAAACACCCCAAAAATATCCCAAAAACACCCCCAGAGCTCCCGCTCAGCGCCCGGAGGGAGCTGGGAGCCTCCAGCCCGGCACCGATAAACCCCGGCCATAACAAAACCCTGTAATGTCACTGAGAATTGGCAAGAAAAGCACATTAAAAGGAGTAAAATCGGCCCTTTTCTGTGCTCCCGCCCCAAGGGTCAGTCGCATCCCAGGTAATTCCCAGTGAGCCGCAAAGCGCTGGGATTGAGCAGCCACGATGTCGTTATGGGACATTTCCCCTGCAGAAATGCAGCAAGTGTATTTTTATGGCTCAATTTTAAAATCGGCCCAATCCCATGGTTTAAAATTGCCTTTTTTTTTTTTTTGACTATAACAACAAAGATTTTGCTGCGGGGAGCTTAATAAGTATCTGTGCTAAACAGGCTCAAAGAGAAATCCAAATGTTATTTAGGGTGTTGAAGGAACTAAAGGAACAATTTCATCAGCCCAGGCTATAAAAATAAATGCGGAACACAGGAACTGGTTAGAGCAGAGCCAGCAAAGCACTGCATTGCAAAAGAACGTGTCAGGCTGGGGGTGAGGGCCAGAGCTCCTCCAGCTTCCCGTGGAACCCCCTCAGATGTGGATTTAAATGCCTGTGGAAGGCAGGAATGGAGCTGAGGGCACCGAGGCAGTGATAAATAAGAGGGTGGGAGGAAGAACAGAATGGATGTGAACATAATGACAAAGATGGCACTTCAAAATGCAAAAGGGCACTCAGAAATAACAGGAATTTCTGCCAAGGACTGAGAAAACACAGAATCATGGAATCATTAACGTTGGAAAAGCCCTCAGAGACCACTGAGTCCAACTGTTCCCCCAGCACTGCCAAGGCCATCATGTCCCCAAGTGCCACATCTACACAGCTTTTAAATCTCTCCAGGGATGGGGACTCCATCACTGCTCAGGGCAGCCTGTTCCAATGCCTGACAACCTTTTCCATGAAGAAATTTTCCACAATATCCAATCTAAACCTCCCTTTGCACAGCTTGAGGCCGTTCCTTCTGGGTCCCTTGTTCCCTGGGAACAGAGCCTGACCTCCCTGGTTGTCCCCTCCTGTAAGGGAGTTGTGCAGAACCAGAGGGTCCCCCCTGAGCCTCCTTTTGTCCAGGTTGAGTCCTCAGTCCCCCTCATCAGATTTGTGCTCCAAACATTGGGATTTAAGAGAAAAAAGAGGGATGCACATCCCCAGCTGTCAACATCTGTGCCAGGATGCAGCTGAAGGAGGAATTCCTAACCCAGGGCAGTGCCACCAAGTGCCACCACGCGTGGTCCAGGCAGGAGGAGGACACGTGGCCTGAGGATGGGCCCTAAGCAGGGACGGGCTGCTCATCAGAGCAGCAAACTGAGCTATTTTGGGAGGTTGGGGTTTGGCTTTGCTGAACACGACGGAGACGTCGCTGCCTCTGCTCTGCCCTGGCCAGGAGGGAAGTTGTGCTGAATCCTGGGCACTAATTCTGTGTTCCACAGGGCAGAGCTGGAAGTGGAGCTGGGAACTGATGACAGACTGAGGACAACTTAACCACAGGCTTAAGAGAGGAGTTTGAGGGTCACAGGGAAAAGAATGTTGCAAAAAAAGTCTTTTGATCACAAGAATTTGCTGGTTAAGCATTACAGAAAGAGATGAGAAGAATCTCCTCTAGAAGATGGATGTGACTTTTCCATGCAGGACCATGGGCAACAGGAATCCCATTCTTGGAACCAGCTCATTCCTTTGCATCCCTCCAACGTGGGGCTGCAAGGAGTAGTTGGGCTCAGGTGTATTCCCAAATTAAATCTGCAAGGAGGAGTTGGGCTCAGATGCATTCCTGAATTAAATCTGGAAGGAGCAGTTGGGGTCAGATAGTTCCTGAATGAATTCTGCAAGGAGCAGTTGGGCTCAGATAGTTCCTGAATTAATTCTGCAAGGAGCAGCTGGATTCAGATCCTGGTTTAAGTCTCAAGGAGAAGTTTGGCTCAGGTGGTTCCTGGTTTAAATCTGTAAGGAGCAGTTGGATTTAGGTGGTAAAAAAAAAAGCTGAATCCCTGACAGCACAAAAACCAGACTCGATCATAAAAAGGCTTCTAAAATACGATTCTACATGGAAAATTCTGCCAGAATCAGCTCAGATGAGTCAAGCAAACAGCTTGTTTGTTGTGTTTAATGTATACAGAAAGCATCAGGCTGATTACAGACATTAAACACATTCATACACGACACCACCGAGCACCCGCTGTCACCACAACCTTCATCATCCCCAAAGTGCTGGGGTGACAGCACAGCCGAGCAGGGAACTCCAGAAACACTCCAGCAGCTCTTACCTTGTGCAGAGGCAGCACCAGGAAGGCTCCCCCTCCGCTGGCATCCACGATGATGGCCACGAAGCGGGGGTTGACGGCGCAGAAGGAGCTGTCCCAGGTGACGCGGGACACGCGGATGTCGTCGTAGCACTGGTCGTTCTTCACCGCCTGGCCGAAGACGTGCCGGAATTTGCTCTGTCGTACCACCCGCCTCATCGTGTCTGCAAAAGGACAGGGTCAGTTCCAGGCAAGGGGATGGGATGTCCTGCTTGTCCAGGAGATTCCTGGACAAGGATCAACGCTGGATGTTCTCAGCGGCTCCGTGGCCGCGCTTTCGGCACAGACTCGCTCGCGGTTCGTGGGATCGTGGAATGGTTTGGGTTGGGAGAATCTCAGAATGGTTGGGGTGGGAAGGGATGTCTGGAGATCCCCCCCTGCCACAGCAGAGTCACCCAGAGCAGGTGACACGGGAATGCATCCAGGTGGGTTTGGGGTGACTCCACGCCCTCCCTGAGCAGTTCCAGGGCTCGGCCACCCTCCATGGGAAGAGGCTCTTCCTCATGGTGAGGTGGAATTCCACATGGTTTAGTTTATGGCCATTGCTCCTCATCCTGTTGTTGGGCACTGCTGGAAAGAGTCTGGCACCGTCCTCTTGGCACCAAAGACCTTAACATTTATCCCATTGCACCTCCTGCCATGGGTAGGGACACCCTCCACCATCCCAGGTTCTTCCAAACCTGATCCTACCTGGCCTTGGACACCTCCATCTCAAGACCTGCCAAATTCTCAGCCAGCTTTGCCTTTTCCTTCTTTTATTAACTAAAATTTAAGGTTGTTTTGCACCCAGCCCAACCCAACTGCATTTCCAGGGGGCTTTTACAGAATTTGCCAGTTAAGCATTCATCTCCCCACTGTAAATGTGTTTGTTCCCTGACTGCAGTAAAGGAAGTTCCTAATCCCAAAAGCAGTTTTTAGACAAGTCTCCACATATTTTCAGGGATAAATCTAGTCTTGGATTGAACTTGTTTACTTTCAAGTCAGACAGGGTCCAGAAGATGTAAATAAAAATGCAAGCTCTCAAAATCCGGTGTTCCTGTGAAGTGGTTCCACATGTTCCCTAGCTTCCAGTTCTTTCTTCTAACTCCAAAATCACCCTAAAAAAATTTGTTTCCTAGGCAGAAAGGAGTAATGGAAACAAGTTAATGACTCCAATTAACTTGGTGTGTCTGTAGCATTTCTTGAGAAAAATTATTTTCAAGAATGCTGGAGTTAGAATAGAGGGAAAGGGAATTGGTGTGGAAAATTCCAGCACCTGGGAGAAGACACAGGGACAACACTTGGATTAGGGATGCAACCTATGGAGCCCTCACATCTGGGAAGGGCTTTTCCCATCATCCCAGTTATAAAAACCCCTTTCTCCCTCACAGAAGATGGAGCAGAAGAGGAGTTTCCATACCGCATCTTGCTTTTACATATGGGAAAAATATTTCTGTCCCAGTCTCTAGGGATAGCAAAAAAAAAAGGGAAAAAAATAAGCAGAGTCCAGCTCCTATCTCTCCTCCCAGAAGGTCCCCAAGCACATGGAGAGGCTGGGAAACACTGCCCAGTCCCTGGAGCTCCTCACTCCAGTGCAATGTTCCAGAGTGAGAGACTGGGAATGTGGTTCCATCCCAAATCCCTGCTCCCAGGCTGTCTGCTGCAAACGTGATGAAAGCTCCCAGGGCTGTCTGTGACTGCAAAGGCTTTGCAGGGAAGAGCTGAGCGAGTGCTGATGGCTGTTTTGTAGTCTGGGAGGTGAAATAAAAAATTAACCACGACAAAAAGCAGGATAACTGCAGGGAAGCGCTCATCAGAGCCGGGAAATGCCACGGAATGTGTTTGAAGAGGAGGGAAATGTTCCAATTAAGCAAACAGACAGCTCTGCAGTGAAACTCTCCAGTTCTGCAGAGGGAAGGGAGAAGGAGCAGAGCATTTGTTTGGCACCAGAGCCCATTTGGGGACTGGCACTGGTCACTTCCATGGTGGCTCAGCTGCTGGGACAGGGATGTACCAGTGCCAGTGTGCCCAGTGAAGGCAGATTTGGGGTCAGTTTTGTGGTGGGAACACCTGTCCCAGGTGTGGGGTGGAGGCCACTGAACACCTTCATGTTCCATGGGCTCCATGGTCATTCCCAGCCATGGGAAGCAGGTAGGGGTTCCCCACACTACCTCTGCCATACTGATATTTTAAAGATAATTAACAACATTAAAGAAAAAATAGATTTTAAATGCAGAATTTTGGGAAGAGCCGAGGTGTTTAAGATGTCCACAGAAAAGAGCTATATGGAAATTGTTAATGATTTCTCTGCTATTGAAGCTGAACTTGGGCTCCCTCCCTGCTTCCATCAGTTACTGGAATTGTGTAATGAACTTTCTGCCAACTGTTTCCCTCAGAGCACAAATCAAAGGCCTGTTCCAGGCTGGACACGCCCCGGAACACCAGGGAGTGATGGGAAATCACGAACCAGGAGCTGCTCTCCAGCTCCAGCCAGCAGGTGAGAGCCCTACACAAAATCGTGGCATGGTTTGGGTTGGAAGGGACCTCAAAACCCATCCAGTTCCACCCCTGCCATGGGCAGGACACCTTGCACTACTCCTGTCCAACCTGGCCTTGGACACTTCCAGCACGACCCCAGCCTCACCAAATCATGCACACAAAGAAAAGGTGAATTTCAACTCCAAGACGCCCAAATGACAAGAAATGCTGAAGTCTCATGGTTCAGATAAGACACATGATAAAAAATGCAGTTCCACACCCAGCTACTGATTTGTGTCGACTCATTCCCAGCCCTGTCACACAATTCCATCCCCAGGGCTCCTCCCAGAGCTGGGAAGGCTCAGCTGAACCTCTGAGGCCATGGCCAGGTCTGGCATCATCTTCCCACCACTGCAGGTGATCCCAGGCCAACCCCAGGATATTGGGAATGTTCTCCCAAGCCCAGTGTGACACCTCAGCCCTTTCCCACCCCTTCTCATCATCCAGGAGCAGGGAAAAGGCTCCTGCTTTGTGCAGGGTGGATTTCCAGGAGCGTTCACCCCCTGGCAACATTCCCACCCTGCTGTGAATCCAGATTAAAATCAGATTGCTGGGAAGAAGGCAAAGAGAAGGTTTGAACTTGTCGTGCTGAGCCAGCACAGCAAATTGCCCAGAATCACATCCCACAGGGCCAGGGGGTGGGAATGGGGCTGCTCCAGCGCTGGCAGTTCAGGTGGGATGGTTACAAAGGATTATTTGCATCACTTGGATAACTGTATCACTTCTTCACTTGATCAATACCAGAACAGCAGGGAAAAAAAAATTAAATTTCAATAAATAAATTAAATTTCAAATATCTGATGCTGGGGATCTGTCACCCTTTCCACTTTAACAGAAGAGAAACTCTTTACCCCATGGTAAAATCCTACTATTTGATTTCCCTCATTTTCACCCTCTGATGCAAAGGGTGATCATTCGGTTTTCTATAAATTACCTTTTAAAAATGCAGAGAGTTCAGCTGCCTCCAAAAATATCCTTATTTGTTCCAAAGGGATCTGTTGGAACACACCTTCCCTGCCCTCTTCCCCACCTACAGCTCGTCATCCTTAGCAGGAACTCTGTGATCAACACATGGTGAGCAGCCTCCAAGCGCTCATTTCCATAGCAAAGGGAGTGATTCTTGGCGTTGGATCAGAGCCATTTTGATCTGGCAGCTCTCCCAGGAGAAGGAGGGGGGAATGTGCTGCTTGTGGTTGGAAGGAGCAGCACTGTGGCTCTTTCAGCTCACCAGGGAGAGCAGGTGAAAAACCCAAAGCAGGGAGCGAGAGCTGAGCACCCCAAAAAGAGTCCCTAGCCCTGCCACAGAATGTCCCTAAATGGGAAAAGTGTTTTGTTTCCTCTTTGCTTCTCAATCTTTCTCCTCTTCCTCCAAGAAAATCCACAGCTCAGTTTGGTCCCTGTAAATTCTCTCAGCAGAGTCACAGGCAGGAGCTCCAGGCTTGGCCAATTCATGGGATGGTTTGGAAGGAACCTGAAAGGTCCCATCCCATGGGCAGAGACACCTCCCAGCCTGGCCTTGGCCACTGCCAGGGATCCAGGGGCATCACAGCTGCTCTGGGAAACCTGAGCCAGGGCCTCAGCACCTTCATTAGTCAGAAATTTCTTCCCAAAATCCCATCTAAATCTACCCTCTGTTGTCTTAAAGCCATTCCCCCTTGTCCTGTTATTCCATCCTTTATCCAAAATCCCCCTCCAGCTCTCCTGGAGCCCCTTTAGGCACTGGAAGGTGCTCTAAAGTGTCCCTGGAACCTTCTCTTCTCCCCAGCCTGGCCCCAGAGCAGAGGGGCTGCATCCCTCAGAGCAGCTCTGTGACCTCCTCTGGACCTGCTCTAACAGGTCCACATCTTTTTTGTGCCCCTTTTGGGATTATCAAGTGAGACACCAACACCTGAGATGATTCACCCTAAGGAAAGGAAAGGCTGATTCAGCCTCTATCACACTTGCAGAAGGATGACCTGGGTGGTTCAGGGAGCCTTGGGAAGTGATTTTGGAAATACCCAAGTGGGTAAGGAAGTGTATCCATGGCTAATGGGGCTGTGCTGGGGATTTTCTCTTAGGAAGTGGACTTGCAACATGAGCATTAAAAAAAGAAGTTAATTAGATCATTATCTATGCTGTTAAACCTTGGCTAAGGAACTCCCTACCCACTTGCTAGACAGAATATATTTTTGGGGGGGGGGGGGGGGGGGGGTAAAGTGCAAAATTAGAGCATTTAAAACCTCCTGACTGGGAGCTGAAAGGCCTTTAAATTTTACCAGAGTTACAACCCTCAGCAAAATTAAAACAGAAGCTTTGGACACCCTGCAAAGGCCTCCACAATAGAAGTGCTGACAGATCTACGGCTGCTGAGCTCCTGGATCCCGCTCGGCCACACACGGCATCTTGGTGGGGACACAGCAAACCTCTCCTTTATTCCCTCCCTGAGTGAATTCCAGCTGAATTTTACCAAAACTTGGGGTTCATCTGCCCTCTGAAGAGCCCAGCCCTTGTGGCAGCTTTTGAAAGGAGCCTGGCAAGGCTGGATGCTGCTGGCCATGCTCACACAGGGACACTTTTCATCCCACTCCTCTCTGATCTCCCATCACGATGTGTCACAAGAGCTGCCATGAGTTTGCCCATTTTCCTGTTTATAAAGGATTTATCTGTC